TAAAATTTATAATTTAATAATTAAATAAAATTTGTTAGTAGTTTTAAAAACAAAATGAACTTGGCAGATCGTGCATCGGTATTTTAACTTCTTACGAATTTTAATTTTCGATCAAACGTCAACATATTTCAATTGAATTTGTTTTTAATGATGATGGAAAAAGAATTTTATTGATAATATAAAAGGAAAAATATAATTGAAAGAATTACATTTTTTTATATATTATACGAAATAAACAATTCATTGTTTAAAATAGTGTATTGTTATTAAGAATTGAAAAAATAATATTGTTAATATAAACATGTGAAAAATGAGAAAGTTAAACAAAATATATAATAATAATTATAATAATAATAATAATAATAATAATTAAAATAAATTTGTTAGTAGTTTTAAAAACAAAATTGAACTTGGCAGATCGTGCATCGGTATTTTAACTTCTTATGAATTTTAATTTTCGATCAAACGTAAACATATTTCAATTGAATTTGTTTTTAATGATGATGTAAAAAGAGTTTTATTGATAATATAAAAGAAAACTTACAAACCAACTGATATTTTCAGATTACTTTTCATTCCAATTTGCACATTTTTTTCTATTTAATAACAATTGTTTATTTTAGACGACGAGTATACACGTCAACAATACCGAAAACAAGTTTTGAATCAACGTGTATACACGTAGAATGCAATTAACTGTTTAATATGGTTATTTAATAGTACAAACAAATTCATGTATGTTCTCATTTAATCAAAAACAGAGAATTAGGATTTAAAAGAAAGAAAAAGAAAGAAAGAAAGGTATAGTTAAATTTCTATGGGGGGAAAAAAAAAATCCGAGTAAAGGATGAGGAAATTTCTCGGTAACGAAGGTTCTTTGCGTAAACGTTTTTGCCCTTTTTTTTTCCTTCTGAGAAAAAGGAAAAAAAAAAAAAAGGTCATAGAAGAAACTGCTCAGAGAGAAAGAGGTAGGGAAAAGAAGCTGAAGAATTATTATCTTCGCAGCATATATCCCCTTCCTTTTTTATCGTCTGCTATATCCGTAAAATGACAGCACTTATTGCGGTCTCGTTATCCTCTGATCCAGTCTCTCTTTCTCTCTCTCATTCTCTCTGTTTCTCTTTATAGAAGAATATAAAGGATAGAACGAAAAATTAATAGAAAATACAAAATGAACTAAAAGTATTTCGAATTGGTGTTAATGTTTCAAAATCATCTTACAAAAGGATAACTGAATTAATAAAAAAAATTGATATTTTAAATATTTTAC